GAGGATGTGGAACAAGGGATATCATTGCTGATGTCAGATGGATCTTGGCTGAAAGCAAAGAATATCAGAAAGATGTTTACTTGTGTTGACTATGCAAAAGCATTTGGTTGTGTGGATCATAACAAATTATGGAAAACACTGAAAAGAATGAGAATTCCTGAACACTAAATTGTACTCGTGAAGAAACTTTACATAGACCAGGAGGCAGCTGTTTGAATAGAACAAGAGGATGCTGCATGGTTTAAAATCAAGAAGGGAGTGCATCAGGGTTGTAACCCTTCACCATACTTTTCAATCTGTATGCTGAGCAAATAATCTGAGAAGCTGGGCTATATGAAGAAGAACGTGGCATCAGGATTGAAGGAAGACTCATTAACAACCTGCAATACACAGAAGACACACCTTTGCTTGCTGAAGGTAGTGATGATGACTTGAAGCACTTACTGATGAAGACTGAAGACTAGTCTACAGTATGGACTGCACCTCGATATAAAAAAAAAAAAAAAATCCTCACAACTGGATCAATAAGCAGCATCACGATGAATGGAGAAAAGACTGAAGTTGTCAAAGATTTCGTATTACTTGGTTCTACAATCAACACCAATGGAAGCAGCAGTCAAGATATCAGGCAACATACAGCACTGGGAAAATCTGCTGCAAAAGACGTAGGTGCTGAAGAGGAAAGACATCTCCTTAAAGACTAAGGTGCACCTGACACAAGCCATGATGAGAGCTGGACAATGAATAAGAAAGACTGAAGAAGAGTTGATGCCTTTGAGTTGTGGTGTTGGCGAAGAATGTTGTAAGTACCATGGACTGCTAAAGGAACTAACAAATCTGTCTTGGAAGAAGCGCAGCTGGAATGTTCCTTGGAAGCAAGAATGGCCAGACTTTGTCTCACCTACTTTGGTCATGTTCTAAGAAGGATATCATGCTTGGTAAAGTGGAGGGTCAACAAAAAAGGGGAAGGCGCTCAACAAAATGGATTGACACAGTGGCTGCAATGATGGGCACAGGACTGGGCATTGCTTCATTTTGCTGTACACAGAGTCACTAGGAGTGGGAGACAACTCGATGGCATCTGACAACAACAGGAATTTATTCTCTTACAATTTTGGAGGTTAGAAGTCTGAGTTCCACATGCCAGGCTCTAGGGGCTAGATGAAAGCCCCTTGACCTTGGACTTCAACTCTGCCTCTTATTCCTGGCCCATTGAAGCTAGAGGCATCTCTTCACTCAGGCAGCTGCTAGCTGCTGAGGCTGACAAACCAAGGTCGACAAATGAAAAGGCAGAATCCCTATATTACCAAACTACACGGCAGGCCATTAATTCAAGTCCATTAAAAATCCCAAGATTGGCAGAGCAACATGGCAGGCTGCTGAAGAATGACTCGGCTACATGCAGGGTTCAAATGTGCCATCAGCTGGTCACCTTCCTCAAAGATGCTTCTCATATACTGGAGACAGCCCACATCCCTGAAGCAGCTAGGTTCCACCATGGGGAATAACTACATTCAGTGGCCCAGGCACTCAACCAGGTCCAGCCAAGTTGACATACGACCTTAACTACTGGCTGCTAAGAGAAAGGCTGGCACTTCGAGTCCACCCACAGGTACGCTGGAAGAAATCCCTGGTGGTCTACTTCTGAAAATTCATCCATCGAACATGCTTTGGAGCAGTTTTACTCTGGCCACATAGGATCACTGTAAGATGGAATTGATGGCGACTGGTTGGGCAATCTACTTCTGTAGAGATGCTGTCTTGGAAACCCAAGAAGGGGTCACTATGAGTTGGAACCAACTCCATGACAGTGAGTTTGTTTTTTTTGGTGTAACTAGTAAGAGCTCTGGTGGCAAAGTGGTTAAAGCATTCGGCTGCTAACCAAAAAGTCAGCAGTTCTGAATCCACCAGCTGCTTTGCAGGTGAAAGATGAAGCAGTCTACTTCTGTAAAGATTTAGAGACTTGGAAACCCTACAGGTCAGTTCTCTGTCTTATAGGGTTGCTATGAGTAAGAATTGACTCAATGGCAGTGGGTTTGGTTTTGGTGGTATAACTAGTGTACTTCTTCCTACTGCTTCTATATTTATCTCCATCCTGCTTTCATTCCTGAGGCAACAATATTATGCTGGGGTCCTTCCTGTTAATGTTTTATATTTTATTACACATAGTACATGTGTGTGTGTGTATGCACACATTTACCTTTTTTTCCTT